TAGATGAAGCCATCAATCTTTTTGAAGACATGCAACGCAAAAATATTATTCCTGATACAATAACTTATAATTCACTTATTGATGGTCTGTGCAAATCGGGAAGGATAGCTGATGTTTCGGATCTTGTTGATGAGATGCATGATAGAGGTCAACCTGCCAATATAATTACCTACAGTTCCTGATTGGATGCATTATGCAAAAATGGTCATCTAGATAGAGCAATTGCATTATTCAAGAAAATGAATAGTCGTAAAATTCAGCCAGATAAATGTACATACACAATACTTATTGACGGACTGTGTAAAGGTGGAAGACTTGAGAAAGCGCGAGAAGTTTTTCAGTATCTTTTGATTAAAGGCCATCATCTGAATGTCGTCACATATACTGCTATGATCAATGGACTCTGTAAAGTGGGGTTGTTTGATGAAGCATTGACCTTGCAGTCAAAAATGGAAGAGAAAGGTCATGCCTAATGCTATAACTTTTGAAATAATTATTTCTGCTCTATTTGAAAAAGATGAGAATGATAAGGCTGAGAAACTGCTCCGAGAAATGATTGCTAGAGGCTTATTGTAAGAGTTAAACTTGGTGAGATGCTTTCTTGTTACTAATAAATAACTCATTGAAAGCAAAAAGTAGTCAATCATTCATTCTCTTTATTCGTATTTACTATCCCTAACCTACTTTCAATTGTTTATATATGCAATTGTGTTCCAATGAATCAGCTTCTTTAATCTATTGATGGTCATTATGTTAACTATTTTCAATCCAATTCTGACTAATCTGTGTTTCATCTGGGGTTTAGGGAGAAATTTTTCTGTCAGTTTAGTTTCGTCTGTTATTTTACTAGGATATTTTTCTATCATTCTGTTGTGTTTTACATTTTTCTCAATGAAATTGTTAAAGCTTTTTAAAGGACCAATTCATTTTTTTTCCACACTACCACTGATAGGATGAAAACTAAAGACTATATTATTTTGACAATATCTTATAGAACTACCATTACATTCTTCACAGGGTAGTTAATTTGTCCATGTTAACAATGTGGGGTAAATAATTTATTTCTGTTTATGCAGGAGATAGTTGGATTCTAAGGAGCAGCTGCACTAAGGCAATATCTATGGTAGATGCGGACAGGTTAATTAGCAAAAATCACTAGTGTTTGTTCTTGTCAATAAAAGCCAGGAGCCTAACATTGAAGATTTGATGGTTAAATTTTGCATATATTCAATAACCAGTAGATTTTTTTCATCTAACAATCAAAATGATTGTATTGAATTTTAGTAAATTTTCCATTTTGCAAGTGATTTTTTATTTCAATTACCATGGAATGCATCATGCCAATTTATGCTTTAAGCTACCTGGCTTTGTGAATTTGGAGGAAAGGGCTATGATTGAACTACTTGTTGGAGACAAGCTTGTTGTGGCCATGCAAATATCAATCTAGACAGAAACCAGAAGGCTGTGTTTCACTCTGTTCTTCTGTGTGGGGAGTGCTTATGACTTATTAGCTCTTTGGTTTTTGTTATTTTCCTGGTTTGTGTAAGCTACCTTTGTTGTTAGGCAATGAAAGGTGCTGATTGCATTTTCAAAAAACCCATGGTCTAGGGTCATGAGACTGCTGGAATTGTAGATGACATAGCATTCAAGTTAAATCTCTTAAGTAGGGACAGGGTGGCTCTTGAGCCTGGATTCAGTTGTCAAATATTCAATTTTTGCAAAGATGGCTGCTAGAATCTCTGTCACCTGATGGAATCTTTTGGTTTTGCTGCCTCTACATTAAACTACAGTTATCTTGCCAATAAGGTAAAGTTTTTTTAACTCGAGAGCCATTCTTTTTATACTGTTAAATGTTGCCCGAAGATAACTTACTTGTAAAATGAAGTGCATAACTAATGCTGTATATACACTTAGGTTTCATATACACAAACCCTTTCAATAGTTTAATGTATGGCTTTTGCATTATGGGTCATTTCAGAGAAGCAAATGCTTTTTTAAATGATATGAAATTGAAAAACATCAACCCAGATATTGTTACCTTTAACATATTGGTTGATGCGTCATGTAAGGAAGGAAAGATAAAAGAAGCTAAAATTGTGATAGCTTCGATGGTAAAAGCAGGTGTGGAACCTAATGTTATTACTTATAATACATTAATGGGCGGATACTGCATAGTTAATGAAGTGAAAAAAGCAAAGCATGTATTCAACTCTATGTCCCAAATAGGAGTGGTGGCACCTAATGTTTATAGCTATAATATCATGATTGATGGATTATGTAAGAAGAAAATGATAGATGAAGCCATCAATCTTTTTGAAGACATGCAACGCAAAAATATTATTCCTGATACAATAACTTATAATTCACTTATTGATGGTCTGTGCAAATCGGGAAGGATAGCTGATGTTTCGGATCTTGTTGATGAGATGCATGATAGAGGTCAACCTGCCAATATAATTACCTACAGTTCCTGATTGGATGCATTATGCAAAAATGGTCATCTAGATAGAGCAATTGCATTATTCAAGAAAATGAATAGTCGTAAAATTCAGCCAGATAAATGTACATACACAATACTTATTGACGGACTGTGTAAAGGTGGAAGACTTGAGAAAGCGCGAGAAGTTTTTCAGTATCTTTTGATTAAAGGCCATCATCTGAATGTCGTCACATATACTGCTATGATCAATGGACTCTGTAAAGTGGGGTTGTTTGATGAAGCATTGACCTTGCAGTCAAAAATGGAAGAGAAAGGTCATGCCTAATGCTATAACTTTTGAAATAATTATTTCTGCTCTATTTGAAAAAGATGAGAATGATAAGGCTGAGAAACTGCTCCGAGAAATGATTGCTAGAGGCTTATTGTAAGAGTTAAACTTGGTGAGATGCTTTCTTGTTACTAATAAATAACTCATTGAAAGCAAAAAGTAGTCAATCATTCATTCTCTTTATTCGTATTTACTATCCCTAACCTACTTTCAATTGTTTATATATGCAATTGTGTTCCAATGAATCAGCTTCTTTAATCTATTGATGGTCATTATGTTAACTATTTTCAATCCAATTCTGACTAATCTGTGTTTCATCTGGGGTTTAGGGAGAAATTTTTCTGTCAGTTTAGTTTCGTCTGTTATTTTACTAGGATATTTTTCTATCATTCTGTTGTGTTTTACATTTTTCTCAATGAAATTGTTAAAGCTTTTTAAAGGACCAATTCATTTTTTTTCCACACTACCACTGATAGGATGAAAACTAAAGACTATATTATTTTGACAATATCTTATAGAACTACCATTACATTCCTCACAGGGTAGTTAATTTGTCCATGTTAACAATGTGGGGTAAATAATTTATTTCTGTTTATGCAGGAGATAGTTGGATTCTAAGGAGCAGCTGCACTAAGGCAATATCTATAGTAGATGCGGACAGGTTAATTAGCAAAAAGCACTAGTGTTTGTTCTTGTCAATAAAAGCTAGGAGCCTAACATTGAAAATTTGATGGTTAAATTTTGCATATATTCAATAACCAGTAGATTTTTTTCATCTAACAATCAAATGATTGTATTGAATTTCAGTAAAATTTCCATTTTGCAAGTGATTTTTCATTTCAATTACCATGGAATGCATCATGCCAATTTGTGCTTTAAGCTACCTGGCTTTGTGAATTTGGAGGAAAGGGCTATGATTGAACTACTTGTTGGAGACAAGCTTGTTGTGGCCATGCAAATATCAATCTAGACAGAAACCAGAAGGCTGTGTTTCACTCTGTTCTTCTGTGTGGGGAGTGCTTATGACTTATTAGCTCTTTGGTTTTTGTTATTTTCCTGGTTTGTGTAAGCTACCTTTGTTGTTAGGCAATGAAAGGTGCTGATTGCATTTTCAAAAAACCTGTGGTCTAGGGTCATGAGTCTTCTGGAATTGTAGATGACATAGCATTCAAGTTAAATCTCTTAAGTAGGGACAGGGTGGCTCGAGCCTCAATTCAGTTGTCAAATATTCAATTTTTGCAAAGATGGCTGCTAGAATCTCTGTCACCTGATGGAATCTTTTGGTTTTGCTGCCTCTACATTAAACTACAGTTATCTTGCCAATAAGGTAAAGTTTTTTTTAACTCAAGAGCCATTCTTTTTATACTGTTAAATGTTGCCCGAAGATAACTTATTTGTAAAATGAAGTGCATAAATAATGTTGTATATACACTTAGGTTTCATATACACAAACCCTTGTTTCTAGCTGTGGTATATACAAGTATACAGTTGAAAAGACCTTCATTTCTAGAATTACAGTCAGTAGGTTTAATAAACATTGAGTTCACAATTGTATCAAATTAATATATTATAATAATGCTTGGCCAACTTAAGTCATGCCTCCGCTAGTGTAGATGTTAGCAACACAACCTATGAGTCCAGACCCAAAAGAGAAACTAAGCGGCCCATGAAATTGCAAGACTGTATCTAATATCATGAGGAGTATCAAATAGGATAATAGCTATATAATTTCTGCATTTCTTTGTTTTATTGCATTTTGTTATTATATTCCTCTGTTACTACACTTTATATTCTTTTTTGTTACAGAATTTTGTGGAAAGCCACATATTGACTCATTGTACTGGTTATATAGTACCAATGATTGGGAATGAATGGACCGAAAAGATAATCAATCCGTAGCCTATTCTAGAATAGTTTTAGATATTTATCAGATCATAGCAGTATCTTATCAATTGGTCTGACCTGCCTTCCCTCCAGCCGTTTATTTCATGCTTGTGCAGAAACCCTTTTTGTAGCATAGCTGGCTTCTTCACGTAAACATTGCAAGATACAAATTTAAAATCAAGGCTTTAACGTAAAATATGCTTATTGTTGCTCACAGTTACTTGCATAAAGTTGGATAGATCTTGTATTGCTGCAAAATCTATAGAGATTGTTGAGACACATCAAAGTACAAGTGGCCAGAATATTTTGATATGAAGATATTTGATTCATTGGAAAGCAATATTGACTATGACTGTCATCTGCAAGGTACCTCGTGGTGAAATTGATGCTTTTTGCTGACCCGTGTAACACAGTCTTCTTGGTAAGTGATCACTTAAGAGGATTCTGAACTGGTGAATGCCTAGTTCTATGTCTAACCTCATACGATTCATTGGTATATTTTACCAAAATGATTTTCTCACGGTTAGTTCCCAAGTTTTCATTTTTAAATTTGTCCCCCGTGGATAACAATTAGACTTCACTTAAACCTTCTTGATTGTTTCGCCTATCGAACAAAACAATATCGGTCTCCATGTGTAAGGATTTTGATTCATATTTCCCCTTGAAATGGATGTTCAATTTCAAAGAACTTGTATAGTCTTTATAAATCAACTCGAGATGGTGTAGTTGAGCTTGTGCACTGTGGAACCAAAGATCAAGTAGCTGATTTGGTGACAAAACAACTCAAACTGGAAGCTTTTCAAAAAATGTGAGATCGCCTAGGTGTATGTTTCAAAGCAACTACTTTAATCTTTATGTTATGTTCTGATTAAGATAATTATCTCGTGATTCCTGATAAATGTTAATCTTAAATTTTGATATTTTTGTTCCTTAGGCTTACCCTGTTATTGGGTGATCTTTCTTATTTGTGTCCTAGTTATGGAACACATATTTCGTCTCTCTTGTTAGATAGATCATTAAGTAATAGTATGGCAACGTAACAAAACTAGACTAATGGACAAAATTTTAGGTATTTACAAAATGCAGAGGGGAAAAGTGAGGATTTTAAAAGTCAAGAGGAAAAATAAAAGTTGACAATTTTATTGAAACGAAAGACACCGTTAACTCAAGAAAAAATAGTAATGTTGCACAACTAAAATACAAAAAGCTAAAGTTGCCAAAGCTGGTTACACTGGAAAGGTTGAGTCTTCATCTACTAAATCTGTTTTAGCATCTTAATATATGGCTAATTAATTACTATTACCACAGGTTGTAATTGGGATGGACGTTGCTGCTTCAGAATTTTATGGCAGCAAGGACAAAACATATGACTTGAATTTTAAGGAAGAGGTTGAAAGATTACAAATTTTTTCCCATTTTTTCCTTAAATTTTCATCTTCCTCAGTTGAGAAGTATTTCTTTGTCAAATGCTTTAACTATAAAATTGACTACCTTATTGCAGAACAATGATGGATCACAAAAAATCTCAGGAGACAGCTTGAAGAATGTGTACAAATCATATGTGACAGATTATCCAATTGTGTCCATTGAGGATCCATTTGACCAGGATGACTGGGAGCACTATGCAAAATTAACGGCTGAAGTTGGTCAGCAGGTGCAAATTGTTGGTGATGATCTCCTTGTCACCAATCCAAAGGTATGCTATATTAACTTCAAAACCTGTGGGCTATGTTCTGCAAACATGCATCATTTTGACAATATTCTGTCTATTATTAACTCTGCAGCGTGTGGAGAAAGCAATTCAGGAGAAGGCTTGCAATGCCCTTCTGTTGAAGGTAAATTAACTTTTGCCTTTTCCATGTTAATTAGGTTATGTTTTTAATCTGAAGTTCTCTATCAACTATAACTAGGAAATTTATTTATTTATTTATATGAATGTCAGGTGAATCAATGTCGTCACATATACTGCTATGATCAATGGACTCTGTAAAGTGGGGTTGTTTGATGAAGCATTGACCTTGCAGTCAAAAATGGAAGAGAAAGGTCATGCCTAATGCTATAACTTTTGAAAGTATATACCTTAATTCATATAAATACTTATTAAAACCTCACAAAACTTCTCTTTACAAATCTCAGGCCTATCACCTTCCTAAGTCCCGTCCATGTCTTTGTAGTCAACATTGAGCCACTCTTTAATTGGTCCAACGAATCAACAACAAAGGCACTGCCAAAGTTGCAAAAACATTGAAACTGGCCCCCAAAAATCCGAAATAGTGAAGTGCTTTTATTCAATGAATAGAAAATGACCCCCAAAAACCCCTTTTACACAGGCTACCCTCTATGTGCCTAGCTAGCCTTCAATTGCATTTAAATTGTGTGCCAAATTTTCATTCATCACCTGTTCTAATGACTTCGTCAAACTTGCCCCCACAGTGCCACTAACCCTATTATCACACAATTACACTTCTTCACCACATGTATTTCTTGTAAATAATTTAATACTTTTTCTTGGTCTTAATTTTTTCCCCTTTAATGAGACAAAAATAAATAACTTTATTATTTAATGAAAAAATCATACATAATACATTTTCATGAAAAGAAACTAAAAGAAAGATTTTTTTATTATATATATATTTACATGGACTAAAAATTATTTAATCAACAATAAAATTTACTATTTTTTAAAATGTACTGTAGTCACTATGAAAATTTACTATCTATCCCATTCCTAGTTCTGTAAACTTTTAACTTTGTTGGAATTTTATGATCTCATAGTTGTTATTAAATTTAAATCCTAAATCCTAAATTCTTATATTTAGGATAAATTTATTTTTATCTTTTAAATTTAAAGTTATTATTTTTAGTTCTTGTAATTTTTAAAAATTTTGTTTTAATCTTTCAAGTTATCAATAATATATCTGAAAGTGATAAATTGAAATAATTATAAATTCAATGTAATGTTTTTATTAAAATAAGATTTTTTTTTGAAATTACAGAAATTAAAAAAATTCATTTTTAAATTTGAAAAATAAAAAAATTATCTTAAATTTAAAAGATTAAAAATATATTTAAACTTTATTATTATTAGTATTTTTGTAATATACGTCATGCTATAGATTTTATATATCGTCACTAAAAAAAATTAAAAAAATTGTTAAGTAATAATACAAATCTCTTAATAACACAATATTTTTCCCTAAAAATTATTTTTACTTACACTATAAATACAATGCATATTGTATATTGTTAAACATTGTAATACATATCTTATTATTATCTCTGTAATATGCATTATGTTACAAATTTTATATATTGTCATTATAAAAAAAAATGTCATATAATGATATGTATCCTATAGTGACAATAATTTTCATTAAAAATTATTTTTATTTACACTATAGATACAATATATATTAATATGTAATAACATGCGATACATAATAAAGACTATATAACATATAATACATATTATTGAATCTCATTTAAAATTAATATTAAAATTATATATAAGTAAGACGAAAATTAATAAATATATATCAGATAAATTTATATTTACACATTTTTATATTTTATTGTATATAACCTTTCTTATAACGTTGAATCGAAATTCAATGTAGAATTAAATCACCATTGGTAATTACAATAAGATTAATACTGAAATAGTAAACTAAGAAATCCAATGCACTTTTCTGTGTTTTTTTTTTCATTTGCTGCATTATACGATTTTCTATTTTTTTTCTTAAAAAAAGTTCACCTTTTCTAATTCCTACACGCAAATAGTGTTGACCCTAAAACAGGACATTACATTTATATCTATCCATCTCTTTATATATATATATATATTAAAGCACCTTAACATTTGTCTTAACTAAAATCAACGGTTTTTGATGTCTTTCTTCTTAACAATTACCTTATGAATGATTTTATTAAATAAATTACACAACAAATGTTTTCTTTAATTATTTCACGCATATAATTCTTTTTTAGTTATAACTCATTTCCTTGCCATCAATTCATTTTAAAAGTAAAGTAGTATCTCTATTTATGATTTCATATGTAAAACAAAGATTAAATTTTAATATTTAATTAAAAAACATAAGTGTTGAACTACTTGTATTTTTGGTATTTTTTTATTTGCTTAAATTCACTTTTACTCTTTATATTTTGTAATTGTCTAATTCTAGTTCTTAAAAAATTTATTGCAAATTTGATTCCTTAGTTAATGTAAGCTCATCATCAATATATGACATTCAAAATTCAACAAAAAAATATTGGCATAATTTGATTGAATATGGTAAATATCCGATTTATTAAATTGGTTATAGAAACGAGAATGAGAATATGTTTATTTGTTTCATAGTTGTACCTAGTTTAAATTTCTTAAAAATTTTATTTTTTAAAAAATTTACTGACCTTTATGCGATCTTTACTTTATTTTAAATTTATGTTAAATGTAATATAATTTTTTAATGGGCTGGTTTTCTATGTTAAAATTTTTATTTTTGTATATTTTTTTTATAAAAATAATTAATTTTTGAACAGATACAAAATAGATACGAATATATCTGATATCTAATGGGGATAGAAATAAAAATACAAATTTGATATCATCGTATTTGAAAATAAGTATAAGATAAAAAATAAGGTTGAATATAATAAAGTTTCTATCTATTCCATTCCATTGCCATGTGTATATGCTTACCCATCGGGTTAGTGGTAATCAAACTTAATTTAGAAGTTTTTCTTTTCCTTTTCTTTATTATAAGCAACTTAATGGAGGAGTTGAGTTTTAAGGTTTGGCCAAAATATTTATGGTCTCAATACCGCAAATAACAAGGAATATATCCCAAACGTAGAAAATAGGAATAAGGCAAAAGAAGATGATTTAACCTAACTAGCTAGCAATTCCTTAAAATAACATTTTGATCATGTTCTGGTGGAACCACTTTTGCACCAACCGTATCATGAAGGAAGTAGAGTTAACGTATTCTATCAGGTGGAAACTCTTATGAGTTAATGGCCACAGGTCAAACACCCACTTTCTTTCCATATTAATTATTTCTTCACACAACCAAAAATTCAACAAACCTTGAATTACGCCCTAGCTGTGCTCCACAAATAATATTGTTTAAATTATTTCGAGTTGAAATTAAAATATTTTTATAAATATTTTTCTCTTTAGTTATTTATATATATTTCAAAGACAAAACCATTAACGAAGGTTAAAACAAGCAGTATTTTAGATATTATGATCATAACAAGTACCAACGATTAAAATTGAAGTCTTTAGTTTGAAGTTTCTTCTAATCTCTATTTTGTAGAATAAGAAAATTATGATAATGACCATTTGGGTTATGGCACAGTGAAGCTCAAATCAAACGTTATATGTCAGAAGTGATGTCGTTATAGCATCATCCAGTGCAAATGGTAGAAAGTATTTATTATTTACACGTGAAATATATAGTATACTTCTTTTTCTATCAATTTATTTATTTATAATAACGTTTGACTACGATATCTGTGGTTAGTATTGCGACATTATCATATTTTTTAAAGAGAGCATATTCAACCATGATGATGTATAGAATTTATCAAAATAAATTAAAAGAAGGAAGTTAATTAGGAGAAGAGATTTCCGTTTTATAGTCACATCATATCACAAGCCTATAGAAAATATCATTATCATTTAACAGAAATTATATAAAAATATATATATCAATTCAATCAAATTAATCATCGTTAGCATGACGTAACAATTGAATTTTGCAGTCAATAATTCCCTACCCATTTGTTTTAAGCAAAGGATTTTTTTTTTAATTTTTTATATTAACCTTGATAAATTCGCAAAAAAATTTACAATAAATATTTGAGCCTCCCTTTGAATTTGATCGTAGCAGTACACCTTTTCTGTTTAACAAATTTTGATTCTTAGACACTTTCAGGGTAAAAAAAAATATGACATCGTTAACAAATTACTTTGAAATTTTAAAAAATGATTATTAAAAAACAATTTTACTATATACATGTCAACATGCGATTAAATAATAATATAAAACTTATTTATATTTTAAAAGAATCGGATCAATTTATTAAAAAAATTCAAATAATCAAGAGAGATTATCTCAGTTGAGTGAAGTAGTACTTAGTTAATCCTTTAATATTGATTTTGATTCCAATATATAAAGAAAATTCAAATAAATTAAATTTAATTTAATTTAAATATCAATAATGTACAAAAGGCCAAACAGTTTAATTATGTTGCACTCTAGTCCTGGTCTATATTCATATTCAGAAGCATTTAATGAATTCAATAATATCAGTTTAATTAAATTTTATCAAATAAGCGTCAATTAAAATTAGGTGAAAGTACATAGTGTACATATCTTACATCAAAATTATTATTATTTTTTTTAAAAAAAAAAAAAACTACCATATCTATAATACGAGAATCATTTTCTTTTGGCAGCCACCTCGTTCTTTCTCCCTCTATCGTTGAATCCAAACTTTCCCCCAACGAATATACCAAACATTACTTAAAACCCCTCTTCTTTCACCTCCTATATATGTCCCACATAATAAATATACCCTATAGTTTTTATACCAACATATACGCAAAATTCCCACATAATAAGAATCCCTCTCTATATATAGCCCCACTTTGCTTCTTCCAATCCAATTAATATAATCTCATTTCATTTCTTTTCTCATACAAGAACATATATGTACATGGGTTCCTCAACAAAGAGCATGGCTGATTCAGCATCATGGTGTTGTGCCATGGCACTATTGTGTCTAATACTATTAGGGTCCATGAGGGAGAGCCATGTGCCGGAAGAGGATGACGCCGCCACCGTTGTTGCCGCCACGAGAGGGCAGAGCAACCTCTTTGAACGGCCATGTGATGAGATATATGTGGTGGGAGAAGGGGAGACCCTACACACCATAAGTGACAAGTGTGGTGACCCTTTTATTGTTGAAAGAAACCCTCAT